AAGTACAGGACCTGGGGGAAGATTCTGTAACCAGTTAGCGACAATTTTCGAATCGCTATCGATCGTTTTGACGCAAAAACATTTATATCATGCGTCAAAAAGTGCGGTAACGATCGGAAAATTGTCGATAACTGGTTACATTTGACTGTACTTCGAAGTACGAAGCACAAGACCGAAAAAAGAAGTACCGTACTTCCGAAAGAAGTACGGTTGGTCACATTAGTTATATACAACTTTCTGCAAGGAACGCGATGAATTGCCAAATGAAATGTGAAATGTGATAACTGGGCGCTTGGTAAATCACCGAAACCTTTATCAGATTATTTTTCGGATGGTATCGGTATATCGGTTTGGTGCAAAATCCATTTATGAAGCATTACTAGATCTTCACAGTACTTAGACATTGGAACACACATTTGAATGTGTGTCTCTCAAAGAGTTTTGGGTTAGTGTAAGAATAAATATCATGAAGTCGCTAAAAAGGCCATCTTAACTTTGCTTCCTTCTCTCACAACGTACTCTGTCAACAGGGTTTTCAGCTAAATACACTTATACCAAAAACATATTCAGGTCGAAATGGGATGCTACCCCAGAAATGCGCATACATCTTTCAGAGATTAGTGGGATTCATGAAACGTCGCAAAGTTGTTGCAAATATCGCATTTGCCGCAAAATTTGCCACCATGCGACACAGCTGATTACTTTTGTATGGAAACTTTCTTGTTACAAAATTGCGACATTGCCATAGTATTTGAGCTGGCAATCATTGCAAAGTCAAAGCCGCGAAACACATGTTTTTTTATTATCTTCAAATGCTTCAAAAAGAAGTATATCAGATAATTGTAAAAACTTGTCTTTTTCTCTACCGCGCGGCATATTTAAAAATTTTACATTTGCAATCTGGAGTTGGGATAGGTCGTTCATACAACTTTGTTCGCAACATTGCCATTCCGCCAAAAATGTCACTTTGCGACGTTTAATGAATGGCACTATTATATCGAACTACTATTTTATACAATAATTAATAGCAGTGAAACAATTTCATTCTTCACATTAAGATTTTTATTTTTAGTATTTCTAGTAAGAGTTTTTATTCATATTTAAATTGCACTGCCTTTGATTTTTAGTAATTTGATGTGTGGTTCCATAAAATGAAAGGTGTTTAGTAAAGGTTCCATCATCTTAAAAGTTTACGGACACCTGGTCTAGGGCACCCTGTATATGTAGAGTTAGCAGATTTATTATAATTATATTTTTTATTATTTTTGTATTTGCTTTCAGCTTGAACACAGACCCAAGGCATAATCCCTACTTCCAGAAAACAAATGAATTGGAAGAGAATCACCATGAATCGGAGGGATTCCATATCCACGCTTGAAGGGATCGTGTAATCATCTCATTGAATATGTATATGTCACTTGTTTATATGTATTTAGTTGTTAATTTTTTACATAAAATCATATTCACTGCTTAATAACCGTATTTGTCTTCTTCAACCATTCCAGAATCAGTATTGCCGTTGTAGTGGCGTAGCCAGAGCGAAACGGTATTTGTGGTTATTAATAGGGATGTGCCGGATAGCCGGGTTCCGGATATACTGCAAAAATAAGAGCAGGATTCGGATATCCGGTAGACTCTTGCCCACAATTAATTTCACAATGGCTGACATTTCTTTATTCATTCTGAACGTTTGGAATAAACTTTTTTGTTTACTTATTCTTTAGAACGTTCCTGATGATATGTTAACGTATATTTCAAACGCATTCTGTTTATTCCGGCTGTGAAATGAGATTATCCGGAATGTATAAAGAAACGCAGCCAATATTTTGGTTTATTAGGTTTTTTTGTTTAGCTAGAATTTCTGCTTTTTCGAGCTGACCACTCCAATACGTAATTAAGAATACAAAATTTCTCCTTTGAAATCCTAGTTATGATATAATCCTGTATTCAAAAAATAACTTCTCCGTCTGCGACCCGGATTTATCGATTATTTTTAGTAAATAGAGGAGAAATGTCAAAGTACAAAAGATAAAAAAAAAACAATGAACGCCGCTAAGAAAAAAACACATGATTGATTTTTTATTTTTGTTTTACGTAGAATACGTCTCACGTTTCGATATGGAGGCTATGCTCAAATGTTGTAGTTGTAATTTTTGGAGCTTCACAAAAATGCTTATTGCACGAGAATTAATGAAGCAATTTCAAAGAAAATATGGCGTCATGGGCGTACGCAGAGCATAATTTAAGGGGGTTCTGAGATTTTTGTATATTTTGTTAGATATGTTAAAATATTGCTATTAAAAATTTATAATAATTTACCTCATTAATTTTTCTCATTTTAAGAAACTTCAAAAAAGAGGAGGTTGTCAATTCATCGGAATATTTTTTTATGTATGTTACCGCATAACTTTGGCCACATTAACCAATTTCGATAATTCTTTTTCTGCTGCGTCAGGGGAGGTCCGATCACTGGATCATGAAGAAATTCACGGTACTTCTAAATTTTTATATGAGAATTGAAGTCGGTTGTGTTGTTGGCTTAAAAATTACATGTTATTGTAATAATTGTGTTGTAACGAGTCCTACAAAGCAATTTATATGTATTGCATAAAGTTTATTATGAACTTATTGAAGAGTTAAAACCAGCGTTGCCGAATTGACAAAAATAAATTGTAACAGAAAATTTAAGGAATTTTACTTACTCATATGCGTTATGCCTTTCGGCAGCGGGCGGATTTAAAATTGAATAAATATCTGGCAGCTGATTGCAGTTTACCAACTACCACAAAAATTATCAAGCTTCCTTCACGAAAATTCGGTAACCGATACAACGATTACCAAATAATTTATACAAACAAAATACATTGGGAAAAAAATACCGAACACCGAGTACCCCTACTTTAAAACTGGATCAAAATCTTCAAAAACTTCAAACCAGTGGAGATCAACTATTTAAAAGCAGTTGCGTTTTAAATTTTAATTTAAAATTGTCGTCATGAATTGCAAATCGTATGCATAAAATCTAAGCAAATGCTTTTTCTCAAAATTTCAAACCTTTTACTCAATTAAAATATCAAATAAATTTAAGTGTAAGGTACGCAATTTTAAGAAAACGCAATTGCTTAGTTTTTATGCATACGACTCATTGTATGTAATTCTTATGTATTTTTTTATTTTGTTAAAAAAATACAATAAACAAAAATACCAGTCTCATACTAGTTCAAAATAGACAGAAAACTACTAGTCCAATTATGGACCAAAACCACCACTTTGGGAGTCAAAAAATAAAATGAATTCATGAATATACAATAAAACACTTTTGATTAAGTACACTTTAATATTTATTTATTTAAGTCAAATATACAACCATAGGTTATTTTTACAATGATTAACCTTAAATTAAAAATTTAACAATAAAATTTGAAAAGATTAAAAAATAAATAAAATAAAATAAAAGTAATAAGACTGATGGCCTTATTCATAAAAAATAAAGTAGGTTTAAAGAGCTTTATAAATTGACGTTTTCATACATTTTTCAATTTATAAACCTTTTATAAAGCTACTTTATTTTTTATGAATAAGGCCATGAGTCTATAGAAGGTATTAGAAAAAGAAAAAAAATAATAGTAGTAGAGATTAAACTGGAAATTAATTGAATGAATGAGAAATTATTTAAGTAAATTCAGCAATGTTCGGCGAAGTAACGAATTAATTCATGTCTGAAGCGCAAGTTCTCTTTTATACACATAATTTTTGGGGGTAAATTATTCCAAAGACGGACAGAGAACACAAAGTATTGACGTTCAGTCACCAAACTGTATTTCATTGGGACTAAGTTCAGCGAACGGCAAGATTTTGAAAACAGAAGTCAATCTTTGAGATATCTGGGTTCCTGGGTAGTAATGATCTTCTGAAGTAACACTAAACATTTAAATTTAAGCAAATCGTCAAAAGATATCGATGCAACTTGTTTCGCAAAAACAGAAATATGGTCATAACGTTTTTTACAGTAAAAATTTTTCGCGATATTATTATACAAAACATTGAGTTTACTACGGCACACACAATGAAAGTATAACTCACAACCAAACAGTAACGTTGGTAACAAATACCCTTTAGCTAGAAGCAGTCGAATTTTCACTGGTGTAAATTGTTGAGTAGTCCATAAATTTCGGAGCATACCGTATACTTTGCCAATGGCACTAAAAATATGGTTACTCCACGTCAAAGTTCTATTAAATGTAACGCCTGAATTTTTAACAGTGTCCACGTATTTAATCACAGCATTGTTTAGTCTGACTTCTATATAGTCGTCAAGCTTGACATATTTCCTGTATATGGCGATGCATAGAGATTTATCAGGTTTAAGGATTAATCCGTTGTCAGAAGCCCACTTGCTTATAAATCTCAAGTCAGAATTCAAATTGCTGATGCAAATATAAATACAGTTAAGAGGACAGCTAACATATAATTGAACATCATCGGCATATACATGGACATCACTATATTTAATCACACTAAACAAATCGTTAATATACAAGACAAACAAAAGTGGGCTAAGTATAGACCCTTGAGATACACCTCTGGTTATAGGTAAGAAGTTGGATATAGTGTTACCGGCACGTACTGCTTGTATCCGATCACTGAGATATATTTCCACAAGACTTGAAGCCGACGTTGGAACATTAAATAAGTTTTTGAGCTTCAAGATTAAAAGTTCGTGATCTACAGAGTCAAATGCTTTGGAATGGTCAAGTAAAGTAAGAAAAGTCACACGCTTTTCGTCAATGTTTAGTCTTATGTCATCCGACACTTTTAAGTGTGCCGTGGTGCAGCTCCAACTGGATCTAAACCCCGACTGCAATGGGTTCACCAAGGCGTTGTTATTCAGAAAAGCGTTTATCTGGCGATCCATGATACGCTCAAGCACATTAGATAGAAACGGCAATATTGCAATCGGTCGGTAGTCACTATTCGGTTTTTTGAAAGGTATAATCTTGGCTCTTTTCCAAGAGTTGGGAAAGACTGACGTGGTCAAGATGGTATTCAGAGCGTAAGTAACATTCAGAGCGTAAGTAACATTCAGAGCGTAAGTAAGATCCTTGGTAATACACATTTAAGAAACTTTGGATTAATACCATCCATACCGGCCGCATTGGATTTGACACTAAGTATGGACTGAACTACTTCACAGTCGTCGACACATTCAAAACAAAAACTGGACATCACGACATTTAAATTAGAATTGTAACTCTCATAACATATATTATTTGCAGAATCGGGCAAACACACAAATTGCTCATTTAACACATTTACATTAACATTACATGATTCGGAAATAGAATGATTTTTGCTCCCAACCCCGATCTCACGAATTCTTTTCCACGTGNCTTTGTATGGAAACACGTTTACACATTACTGATAAATTTATCCAGCCATTTCACTGAATAAACTTGATAAACTGAAGCCAATGCAACTCTGTCGCAACTTTCGCTATGTTTTCTTCGACAATAATCGGGATCCGCATACAAATTTTGCACGCAAATTCAACAACAACGATATGATCCTGATAGAGATCTGGTTCAACTATTATCCCGGCTGTTTGTTTTGTTTCACTGATAATTTGGCCGCAAAGTTTTGGTAGCCGTGACAAATGAATTCATACACAAACAGACATTCTGCCATTGTTTCTTCTAACTTGGTTCAAATTAATCGCCTTTAT